TTACATTCTTTACACTCTCCATATTTTTTAATATCTCTTTTGTTAAAATAATAATCAAGAACAATCATGTATTGTTCATTCTCATCTCTAGTTATTCCATATATTTTATATTTCTCTTTCATCATTTCATTAAGCTTATAAGATATATGTGTCGTTTTAGAAGTCTTACGTTATTTAATGCAGTAAATTAATAACATATTGAACAATTTAACTTACTTTCTTTATAAAATCCAATGTGTTTGTTTGAGAATTGTGCAATTTTATAAGATCAACTCGTGATTTAGTGCGTGACCGTGCATATCCCCCAGATTCATTTTTAATTGTTCGTATCTTCAAAGATGCCATAAAGAAATCTAATTTCTCATCAATTTCTTGTAAATTATTTCCATCAATTGGAACCCATTTAATCTTTTTAATTTCTGTTAAATCATTGTATTGAATCCGTTCAATAACGTTGTCGTAATCCACAGTTTTAAGTTGAAAACTTTTGATGCAATTATTAATTTCATCATTATCATTTACATCATTATCATTTAATTGTTTATTATGGTCTACCTCCTTGGAAGGATCACATGATTGACACCATTCTGGATTGGTATTAGGTCGGTTACATTCCTTACACTCTCCATATTTGTCGATATCTCTTTTGTTATAATAATAATCAAGGACAACCATATATTGTTCGGTCTCATCTCTAGTTATTCCATATATTTTATACTTCCCTTCCATCATTTCATTAAGCTTACAAGATACAACCGTCGTTTAGTAATCTTATATTATTCAGTGTAGTAAATTAATAACATTGTGAAGAATCAACTTACTTTCTTTATAACTTCTGAAGTATTTGTTTGAGAATTGTGCAATTTTATAAGATCGATGCGTGATTCATTGCGTGACCGTGTATACATTCCAGATTCATATTTAATTGTTCGTATACCATTCGTCCAAGTTGCCATAAATAAATCTAATTTCTCGTCAATTTCTTGTAAATTATTTCCATCCATTGGAACCCATTTAATCTTTTCAGTTTTTTTTATGTTATCGTATGGAATCCATTCAATAACTTCATCGTATTCCGTGGCTTGACGTTGAAAATTTTTGATTTCTTCATCAATATCGTTATTACCACTTGTCCATCCTTGAGTTTCTTCCTCAGGATCACAATTTATGCACCAAACCCGGGAAGTGTTGTATTCCCTACATTTTTTACATTTTCCGTATTTTCCGCAGATACTATCCCTTTTATGATAAATGATATATATTAAACTTGTATTAGTTTATTAGTTTTTAAACTTATGAAAGTTATAAAAAGTAAAATGTATTAACAGCAATACTGTCATGTAAATAAATAGAAGCGCCTAATTTTTAATGATGAATTTGAATTTCTATACATAAGAAAATTTAAATTTACTCACTTCCTATTAAAAGCACGTAATCAATTAATGCTAAGTTAATATTTAATAAATTATTTGTAATAAAGTTTATACAGTACTCACAAGCTGGAAATTTAATATTTGTATAATCGTTAGAGGATATAATTATTAAATACAAATTTGGTAAAGCAAACTTTAATACTTACTCCCTTTAATACATGTATAATTTAGTATATTAAAGTAAATTAGAACGTAAAATTTAGTTTCAATAATGGTATAAAGATTTATGCTAACCTCCTAATGATTCATTTGATAGGACAAGATTAATGTAATAGTAAAAAATGCTGATTTTAAAAACAAAGCAAATAAATTTTATACTCACTGAAAAATGTACAACATTGCTCTTTTGTACATATATCTAATTATTATCATGAAAATTTTAAGGCAAGAAGTGATTAATAAAAGGAATGGCCCTAATTTATATATCACGACTGATTTGTAATAAATGACCTTAAGAATAAGATATTTTTTTTTTTTTTTTTTTTTTTTTTTTAAGAGTGAGGCCTGGCCTCGGTCTTTATTGAACAATTTGGTATTACATT